GATGCCCACTATCTCCACTCCTATTCAACATAGTACTGGAATTCCTAGCCAGAGCAATTAGGCAAGAAGAAGGAATAAAAGGAATACAAATAGGTAAAGAAACTGTCAAAATATCCCTATTTGCAGATGACATGATCCTATACCTTAAAGACCCAAAAAACTCTACTCAGAAGCTTCTAGACATCATCAATAGCTATAGCAAGGTAGCAGGATATAAAATCAACATAGAAAAATCATTAGCATTTCTATACACTAATAATGAGCAAACTGAAAAAGAATGTATGAAAACAATTCCATTTACAATAGCCTCAAAAAAAATCAAATACCTAGGTGTAAACCTAACAAAAGATGTGAAAGACCTCTACAAGGAAAACTATACACTTCTGAAGAAAGAGATTGAGGAAGACTATAGAAAGTGGAGAGATCTCCCATGCTCATGGATTGGTAGAATCAACATAGTAAAAATGTCTACTCCAAAAGTAATCTACATGTTTAATGCAATTCCCATCAAAATTCCAATGACATTCATTAAAGAGATTGAAAAATCTACCTTAAATTTATATGGAAACACAAGAGGCCACGAATAGCCAAGGCAATACTCAGTCAAAAGAACAATGCAGGAGGTATCACAATACCTGACTTCAAACTATATTACAAAGCAATAACAATAAAAACAGCATGGTACTGGCACAAAAACAGACATGAAGACCAGTGGAACAGAATAGAGGACCCAGATATGAAGCCACACAACTATAACCAACTTGTCTTTGACAAAGGAGCTAAAAATATATGATGGAGAAATAGCAGTCTCTTCAACAAAAACTGCTGGGAAAACTGGTTAGCAGTCTGCAAAAAACTGAAACTAGATCCATGTATATCACCCTATACCAAGATTAACTCAGAATGGATCAAGGATCTTAATATCAGACCCCAAACTCTTAAAGTTGATACAAGGAAAGAGTAGGAAATACTCTGGAGTTAGTAGGTATAGGTAAGAACTTTCTCAATGAAACCCCAGCAGCACAGCAACTAAGAGATAGCATAGATAAATGGGACCTCATAAAACTAAAAAGCTTCTGTTCATCAAAAGAAATGGTCTCTAAACTGAAGAGAACACCCACAGAGTGGGAGAAAATATTTGCCAGCTATACATCAGACAAAGGACTGATAACCAGAATATATAGGGAACTTAAAAAACTAAATTCTCCCAAAACTAATGAACCAATAAAGAAATGGGAAGTGAACTAAACAGAACTTTCTCAAAAGAAGAAATTCAAATGGCCAAAAAACACATGAACAAATGCTCACCATCTCTAGCAATAAAGGAAATGCAAATTAAAACCACACTAAGATTCCACCTCACCCCTGTTAGAATAGCCATCATCAGCAACACACCAACAACAGGTGTTGGCGAGGATGCGGGAAAAAGGAACCCTCTTACACTGTTGGTGGGAATGTAAACTAGTACAACCACTCTGGAAAAAAATTTGGAGGCTACTTAAAAAGCTAGACATTGATCTACCATTTGATCCAGCAATACCACTCTTGGGGATATACCCAAAAGACTGTGACACAGGTTACTCCAGAGGCACCTGCACACCCATGTTTATTGCAGCACTATTCACAATAGCCAAGTTATGGAAACAGCCAAGATGCCCCACCACTGACGAATGGATTAAGAAAATGTGGTATCTATACACAATGGAATTTTATGCAGCCATGAAGAACCATGAAATGTTATCATTTGCTGGTAAATGGATGGAATTGGAGAACATCATTCTGAGTGAGGTTAGCCTGGCCCAAAAGACCAAAAATCATATGTTCTCCCTCATATGTGGACATTGGATCAAGGGCAAACACAACAATGGGATTGGACTTTGAGCACATGATAAAAGCGAGAGCACACAAGGGAGCGGTGAGGATAGGTAAGACACCTAAGAAATTAGCTAGCATTTGTTGCCCTCAATGCAGAGAAACTAAAGCAGATACCTTAAAAGCAACTGAGGCCAACAGGAAAAGGGGACCAGCAACTAGAGAAAAGTTTAGATCAAAAAGAATTAACCTAGAAGGTAACACCCACGCACAGGAAATCAATGTGAGTCAATTCCCTGTATAGCTATTCTTATCTCAACCAGCAAAAACACTTGTTCCTTCCTATTATTGCTTATACTCTCTCTTCAACAAAATTAGAAATAAGGGCAAAATAGTTTCTGCTGGGTATTGAAGGGGTGGCGGGGAGAGGGAAGGGGTGGAGTGGGTGGTAAGGGAGGGTGTGGGGGCAGGGGGGAGAAATGACCCAAGCCTTGTATGCACATATGAATAATAAAAGAAAAAAAAAGAAGAATAAAAAAACTAATTTAAAAACCAACGTAAACTCATGATCAAGGTATGAACTGGGCAGAGTCTGTTTGTTATCAAACATAAGGTTTGTGTTTTCCTGACTGTAAAACGATATTATATTGGTCATATGGGAAAGCTTTGAATATAGACTACAGAAGTCCTACAGATAGTTAATATACCTCACAAGTAGCAGCCCTGTAATATTCCAGCTGAGATTTAAATTGTATATCAATACACTACACAAGACTACATTTGAGTTGGGCATGGTGGTACATGACTGTAATCCCAGCACTTGAGAGGCCAAGGCGGGAGAATCTGAAGCTGTGAGGCCATTCTGGGCCACATAATCTCTGCATCAAACAATGAACAAGCAACAGAAATCTAAATATTGATCCCTCATAAGTTGTGAAGTGCTCCCGAGAAGAAACAAACGTTCTTAGGTCGTTCTCAAGGTGTTTTTCTTCATGTCGGAGAGGTGTAATACTTTCAGAAAGTAATCGGGGTACCAGTGGGATAGTTGCTCCATTCCTGTTAATTTGGTTCCTTTGACATTCAAAATTGATTATTCATTCAAAATTCAAAATGAATTATATAGAGAGAGTGTATTTCTGGTCTCAATAGATCCATATGAATAGTTATTTTACAGGCAATGAATTTCAAAACACCAGCTATTAATAAAAGCTTAATAATTTGAATCACATATGTGGATTTGATTTTAAATCTAGTTTCTTTTATGGAACTCCACTATCCAATATCCTGCATATAAATGTATATACCAAGACTTTCATCATCTTTGAAACCACTGAGCGCACATAAAATACTAAGAATCAAACTACGCTTAAATATCTAGCAGTAGATGCTTTGAAGTCAAGATTTTTGTCAAGTAATATTTAATTATAAGAACCTACTTTTGAAGTCTGCATTGAACATCAGGAATTTAAAATTAATATTCTTGAAATAGGAAGTTGGAAAGATGTACAGATGTTCTGGACTTTGAACGTGCACCATAGTTGACCCTTTTTTTGTGACCAAAAGGGAGTGCCATTTATCCCTTCAGCACTGTGGTTATCTTTAGGTTATAAAAGTAATCACATTTCTTTAATATTTTACAATTAAAGATTCTTGCTTTTTTCATATGGATTGGATATGTCCAAAAATTTTGGTCTACTTTCTAAAATAACAAATGATAAACTGGTAAATTTCTGAAACAAAGTTTCATAAAAATGTACCTTTAAAAATTTTTAACATGCAATTTCACCAAATTGGTCTTTGAAAATGTACTCAATTTAGGAGTTAATTTTTTAAGGAAAACACAGACTTTTAGTAGGCTGGAGTTGCACTGCACAACCCAAATCTATACTAAGACAATAATAAAGTCGTCTGATTCTGCTTCACATGTGTTGTTTACTTATTCTGCTTTATAAATGTCATTAGCCTTTTGTTAGGACATAATTTGCTACTTTCTTTTGGAATAAAGTGTAACATCAGGTTTATAATGTATGTGATTTACTCTTAGAATTGTTTGAATACAAACATAAGTTCTACAAGCAGAGGGAAGGAAGATTATGTTCACACCATGGTAGAGCTCTGTGATAGCTAATGCACAGACAGGGAGCTTCCAGAACGTTTGGAACTGCCTGTTGTCGTTAGTATGCAGACAACTACAATCTTATTTGGAGAACGACTGCATGAACAGCAAGTGTTCAGCCAAGGCCTTCTGATGATTAGTTTTGTGTAGACTTGTTTGGACCATGAGTGCCCAGATAGTTGGCCAAGCATTCTGGCTGTTTCTAGAAGGGCATTTTTGTGTGAGGTACACATTTAAATTGAACAAAGCAGATTGTCTTCCCTAATGTGAGTGGCCCTCATCCAGTCAGCTAAAAACCTGCACAGAGAAGCTGACCTTTCCCCAGGTAAGAGCGAATTCTCACTGGAGATGCCACTTTGGTCCTTCCTGTGTGACTGCCTGTGAGCTGGAACACCAACCAGGTCTTTGGGGCCTCCTGTACTTCTGGCTCACAGTGCAGGTTTTGAACTCACCAGCCTTAGTCACGTGAGCCAATGATGAGAGAGTTAATCGATCTGTTGGTTTTATATTTCTGGAGAACTCTGATGAACCCAGGTCCCATGAATTAAAAACCCAGGGGTCAACATTATGGAGGAAATCTTGGCTTGAGTGTCTTGACAAGGCTTTCCCTTCAGAGGGTGATGGGGGTTTTAGTATAAATCTCAGTTACAAAGCAACTAAGACCAAGTAACATCCCCTACTCATTTTCTATGTTCACTTAAATAACCTTATAATTGTCCTTCATACGTAACTAGCTATAAAAATGTGCTCAGTCTGCAAATGTCAACACCTGGCATTCAACAGCAGCAAAATTATCACAGAAAACACCAAATTCAGGGTGTTGGATGTCAGGTTAGCTCACAAAAGCCATTTCCTTTGTGTCACCTTGATTAAAACACATTAGCATCAGAAAATGCAACAAAATCCTAAGGCTTTCTTTGCAAAATGTTTATTTTCTTTAGATGTGTTAACAGGCTTTATAAACTACCCTGGTACCTGGGCTCGTTTCTAATTATTTAAACTGAGTAATAGCTACAAACTCATCAAGAAAAAAATGTATGTGTATACATATAATATCCAAAAGTATAAACCTTTAAGGCCGTTTGAGGAAGCTATAGAGCTGAGGCACAAAGTAATCTTTGTAATGTCCATCGATGAAACCTTTTCCACTGTTGTGCACAAACCAGCAGGGAACATCGGTCCCGAACACTGTGTCTGTTCTGTAGTCTTTCTGTAAGCCCCTGCAAGGAAAATGGTGTGTACACTTAGGGACATAGCCAGCAATAAGACACCCTCTTTGCCTAGCTGTTCTTTGGGCCCTTTCTTATTGCCATCTGTGCTCATTCCCCATCCTTCCCTACTCCCCAAGATGTCTGGGTGTTGGTGTTGGAAGGACAGAGGAAAAGCACTGTGTCCTTAGATAATTCGATAACCCTCTTAGAGGCTGACCCACATGGCCTCTTCAGCTAGAGAAAGAGCAGGAAATCACGCAAGTGGAAAGAAGACAAGAATAAAACTCCAAAATGTCGAAGTCTAACCTCCCACATCACTTGAAGAATCAATCTGAGGCACCTCTTGCCTTCACCTGGGTGCATGTTTTACTTAAGGCCAATGTCAACTGTCAATGTCTCTCCCTTCCTTCCTTCCTTCCTTCCTTCCTTCCTTCCTTCCTTCCTTCCTTTTCCTTCCTTTCCTTCCTTCCTTCCTCCTCAATGTCAATTGTCAATGTCCTTCCTCCCTCCCTCCCTCCCTCCCTCCCCTCTTTGCCCCTTCCTCCTCCCTCCCTCCATCTCTCCCTCCTTCCCTCCCTTCTTTCCTCTTTCTTTCTTTTTCTTTTCATATTGAGGTTTGAACTCAGGGCCTCTCACTTATTAGGCAAGCGCTCTGTCACTTAAGCCATGCCTCTAGTTAACTAAACCCATGCTTCAGTTAGTTTTTTGGATAGGGTCTTGCTTTTGCCCCGTGCTGACCCAGACCACAATCCTTCTGCCTCTGCCTCCTGCATAGCTGTGATTACAGGCATGCACCACCATACCAGGCCCAAGAGACGTAGAGCAGAGTCAGTTGCTTTATAAAAACACTAAAAAGCCACAAATACTTTAAAATACCTTACTAGGCATGGGTGAGACAACTGCAAAAGACTGGGAAAAAGTATAAAGATAAGAACTTTACACTCAGAATGTTTCACAACTGTCTAAGTTCACACTTTAAAATGATGCATATGGATATTATTTTTGTAAAAAAAGCTCCACAAAAATGTGCTCTGTAAATCCAGACTAGAAAAGAAGGCCTTATGCAGAAATGCACACTCTTTCTCCAGCACTGTGGCTCGTGGCATTTTTATTTCTTCCTTTGCTCACCTTTTCCAATTATTCAGTTTGTTACCATAAGGCTTCTAAGGTCTGAATTTGAGAGCAAAGGATGAATTAACTTTGGCATTTCAGGATGTACTCTTACAGAGGCAGTCATTTTTGCATTTAAGGCGTGCCATCTGAAGTGTCCTTGTGCCAGTGTTACCTATGTGTCTGTTCCTGACGAATTGTCAAGTTTGACAGCAGTAATGCTAAGATGACTTTTTGTGCTCTGCTGTGTCACTGTGTGAGTCCAGTTCTACAGTTACTATCTGCATCGGAGGCCTACCTGGTGACAGTCAGCTTCTGTCCCTTCACTTCCATGCTTGCCTCGGGCTTCTCAGCGTCCTTTCCTGGTCTCTCATTGAAGATGTGTATCTTTGGCTCCTGCATGAATTGGCCTAGAGAAACAAAGCCCAGATGCTTACTTACCTGCAATGCAAGGTTGAGTAAAAAGGGAAGCCTCATTTTGGTCTCAGACTTTCCAGGGTAGAAATGTGTGTTGAGAGACAAAAGGAGCAGCAATGGGAGGGATGTCCTTCCTGAGAACTAATCTCCTTGATCTCCTTGTGTCTGTGAGGCTCATCTGCTGGACATCAATAAATTGCCACCCACCTGATGGCAGCAGGTGAGATGGCACTGGCTGGCATCACTCAAATCACAGGAACAGGTTTGTTTATGATACCATATGGTCACATTGAACCTTTTTTATTTTTTGGCAGTATTGGGATTCGAACTCAGGACCTTGTCCTTGGAAAGTCTGCACTCTATCACTTGAGTCATACCCCCCAACCTTTTCTGCTTTAGTTATTTTTTGGATAGGGTCTCACACTTTTGCCTGGGACCGCGATCCTCCTACCTACGCTTCTCCCATAGCCGGGATGACAGGCACACACCATCACACCGACCCTATCTTTTCTCTTAACTTGGCCAGTTTGTGGTCTTTGGAATCCTTGTCCTGAAGGGCAGAAGGTCCTGGCCATTGCACTCCTGAGTCACGGCACTGCTGCTTGTGTCTCTGCTATTGAGTCCTCGTGTGCCACCTTCTCACATCCTCACCACATCATCCACGTCACTAAAGATGGAGTGTGGCCCCACATATGCCAGGTGGCTGAGGTACTTTACCCAGTAGTCCATGTGCGTTGGGTGAAAACTTGTTTGTGGGGGGAATGTAGATCCCCAGAAAGTCTACATTGACTGGATGCTTCTTCCAAACACGATGTAGCAGAATGGAAAAGGACATCTCTTTACCCAAGGTGAGTGTCACAGTTTTTTCTTTCTTCACAGAGACCAGCACCCTAGTGTAAGCCAACATGGAACCAAATGATTCCAGAACAGATTTCTGTAGCAAATTCTTCTCAACCCTACTGTGACCTATCCACTTCTCCCAGCACAATTCCACTGTCTTTCTGAGAGCTTCCCCATGATGTTGCTATGGAATGTTCTGAAATTCTATCGATTTGCATGCTTGTAACACACAACCAATCAACAGCTCCTAACTGGGTCAAAACTCTGGGGAAGATACAACCATACTATTTGTATACACTCTGATAAGGAATTGGCTACAAATTTCAGCAGATGGATTTATTCACTTGTTCAACACATGCATTAAGTACTTATTGTATACCATGCACTAGGCTAGGCACTGAGACACAATAGTGACCAAAAAACGTGGTCCCTGCTGCCAGGGACAGTGCAGTGTCCCTGCAGATACAAGTTCCTGAACATGAACTTGTAATTAAAAGGATAACCTTCAGTTGTGTGCTGCTATTGTTTATGTGTAGACTTATTTCCGCAGTACAGTGAAGGCCAGGTGTAACAATACTTGCCTCTGGTTAGCAATGCGAGCTGTGTCTGCCCAGGACAACTGAGATGAGCGAGAACCATGGCTCAGGGTGATGGTCTCAGTGCTTATTTCTACTTTCATGTCTTCATGTTGCAAATAAAATCCCAGTTTTCCAAAATAGGTGCTTAGCTTTCCATTCTCAGGCTTCTTGGCACCAACAAGCTGACCATTGACCGAAATCCCTGTGGAAGAAAGGATGATTTTTCTCTCTTGGGCTCCAGTCACTTATTTCTATGTATGGACACCATGATTCTAATTTATTAGACTTGACAATTTGAGAATATTATTTGTTATTATTTTGCTTCAGAATTTAAATAATTCTTTATAAATCTTATTTTATAGCTGATCTATTTTATTATAAAGTAATCATATCACAATAAGATTAGCTAGCTCATCCTCACAGTACAAATTTTGAACTAGAATTGTTCAAAACTGTTAAGAATATGTTTATAATTTAAATTCTTAATTACCAAAGTTTTAGTTTCTATTGTGTTGCTCTCCTTTTGCCATACATTGGTTTTTCTTTTTCTATAATATAATCACATTTTAAGTCATACATGTTCTGTGGTTTTCATCATAAAAACCATACAAAGATACGTGAATTAAAGAGGGAGACCTTCATGTTCTGGACACCTCAGTTTCTTCCAAAATATTAACTCCAGTTATTACCTAATCATATTACATGCAAAATTTTCTCTTTAAAAATAATTATCAAAGTTTGAAAAATTTAGAATTTCTATTAAAATGAGAATGAAAGAAATCCTAGGTAGTGACAGGGAAACATGACAGTTATCTGATTACTAAGTCAAATATAATTTATTTTTATCTTACCTAATTCTGGATCAGAAACCAGACTCAGGATTTTTCCAGGTTCTGAGTCAATATTGAAGCAAACATTCTTTTGGCTTTTTGGCAGGTAGATGATGAAATGTGGGTCATTTTCAACTGGAAAACATACAAGGAAAGCAAGAAAAAAAAAGCTGTAAGTCATAAAAATGAAAGAAAGAGATTAGCTTTATTAAGTTGATAGAGACGTATATTTTACATTGTCGTACACAGATGGAGTTTTTGGTGAAGAGTTGTATTTTTAAGGTGCCATATACAATGAAGAAAAATAAAGGTGACATAATATTCTTGTGACATATAGGTTAATACTGATCCATCCCAAGCTCTACTTTGCTTTTGGACGTGATTATGCTGGCTGATCTATGTTGGTCTTCCCCAATCCCATTTAAACATTCAACAAATATTCGGTGGTGGTGGTGGTGAGGGGGACAAACTATGTGCTAAGCACTAAATTAAGCAATGTTTGGTGCAGCCATTAAAAAAGTCAGGAGCTCTACCTTCAAGAAAGTAATAATTTAGTGAAGGGGGCAGAGGAGATGGCTAATATAAGAGAGAAGGAAGAAAACTGCCCCAGCTCACCTTGTGAGGATGGAGGTAAAGGATAACTGATTCCCTCTGGCCAACTGAGCAAGTCTGTATGAAGGGGTGGATTTTGAACTCAGCGTTAAAGTAGGAAGAGAGAAGGGGAAGGGCAGAAAACAAAGGAGAGAGAAAGAGAGAGATGTAAAGGGAGAGAAATTCACTCACTTTGTGATATGTTTAGAAAGTCACTCAATGGCCAGAGGAAGGGTTCATAGACAATGTAAAAGAAAGGTAAGACTAACACAGTAGCTCATAGAGAGCATGCACCACTAGAAACCAGACCTGTGTTCTGTTGGGAAGCTGTTGGAGATTTTGAGTATGAGACATGATTTGAGCCTCAGTTTACCAACAGTACTAGTGGCACATAAATAGAGGACTGGAGGGCAGACATGGGATGATCATTGAGGGTCTAGAGCAGCAATACAGCATGAGATGTTATATTCAAGAACTCAAATAACGGGCTAGCTAAAGGCTCAAGCGCCTGCCTAGCAAGGATGAAGCCCTGAGTTCAAACCCCTATACCGCCAGGGAAAGAAAAAAAAGGAACTTGAATAACTAATGGAATTGGCAAGGGAAGGAAATCTCATGAACTGTTTCAGTAGAGTCTCGCCATGTCTGGTAACTGCTGTGGAGAGAGGGACAGCTTGGTCTGCCGGGTTCCTAGTCTCTATAATGTAAGAGGGAGGTCTGAGATGAAAAGAACCACAGTGCATGTGTTTTCCAGTACAAAATTGACAATGTGGGCTACCATCCACAGAGGTCACCATTCCTACTTATTACCACAGGGCTCCTTGCAAACATGAGCTCAACTTCTTCTCACTGTGTCCTTGCAGAGAGGACAGGTGACATCACAGTACTAGGACTCAACCCTAAGTGGCCTGATGAAAAGGCCAAGCTTGGGAGAGAGGAAGAGAGGCAGCTGTAGGAAGTATTTTCACTACAGAAAGAGAAGCAGCAAATCGTTTTGGATCCACATATAACACTTTTAGAGATAAACGACAGGAAAGAGATCACTTAAGATGTTCACACAGTCTTTGGCAAGCTTCCTCCATCACAGTATGATGGTCGGTGTGTGTAAACACACTCTTGGAGTTATTTTATTTGTTTGTTTTGTTGTGTCTTTTTTTTTTTTTTTTTGAAACTGGGTCTCACTATGTAGCTGGCCTGGAACTCATGATCTTCCTGCCTCAGCCTCCTGAGTGCTGGGATTACAGATGTGTACTACCATACAAGGTTCAATGCTCTTGAGAAATAAGTTCTGAGGAATTCTTGCTCCAAACAACTGTATTCCAGGGAATCTAGAGGGCTGCACTTTTTATGAAGAATGGAAACTACCCTTCAATTTGGATTTCAAGAAAACTCAAGTTGTGCTGGTCCTTCGGACCTCCCCCTAGGGAAAGGGGCAGATTCTCCCTTTGAATGTCGAAGCAGTCTTTTCTGAGAAAAAGAGAAGGAAAAGAAAAGCTCACCCAGGCTTTCTCCCCAGGGCTAGGAAATTACCAGGCAGTTGCAATGTCTGGGTGAAGGCAGCAACAATGCAGGGAGCTCACAAAACCCCGGGGAAACCCAGGAAAACCTACAGGCCACACTTGTTTTTAGTTGTCCTTAAAAATCACTGATTAGGCCTGGGGATGTAGCTCAGTGGTAGAGCACTTGCCTAATGCACACAAGGTCCCGGATTCAATCCCAAGCACCGTAAATAAACAATAATCACCAATTACAGAGGTCACCCGGCCGAGCTAGGTGTTATTGGTCTCCTACCAGCATTACTGAGGATAACCCCCTTTACACATGGGTCATGATGGTAACAGTTGTCTGGGTTTCTTTTTGTGAACTTAAAGGGTGCTTTCTTGAAACCACCAGCTCTTCACCTGGGCCTGTGCAGGCATCTTATGAGTGACTTTACTTATCAGAAGGCCCCCAAACTCCTCGCCCATGTGATGAACACCTCCATTTCCTTAATGTGCGTCCCACGAAGAGCTATGAAGATTATGCCCACTCAGACATTGGAGGTGAGGACTTTACCTTCAGTCACCTTTCCTAATACCTTCTCCTTCTCCTTCTTCCTCCTCTTCTTCTTCTGGTAGAACTTGGGCATCATTCTTGGTAGGTAACTGCTCTACCACTTGAGCCATACCTCCAGGCTTTTTGTTTTAGTTTTTATTTTTCATAATGTATTTCATGCTTTTGCTCAGACAACTTCAGACCATGATCCTCCTGTGTCTGCCTCCAGAGTACCTGGGATTACAGGTGTGCCCCACACTACCTGTTTATCCTCTATCCCCAAAACCCTCAGGGAGGTGGATTTGCGATTTGGGACCCTATATCCTCAAGCTTGGCCACCTTGTGAATAAGCTTTCTCTTTTGCAGAACTTGGCCATTTCAGTGATTGGCACCCTGCCTGTTGGATAACACATCCCAGGTTCAGTAACGCTGGTACCAGACTAGGAAATATGCTGGCCTCTACTTCTGCCAGGTGTCTCCCCTGCCTCACACGTTAAGACAGAAGATGCCAGAGAGGTTGACAACTGCTCAAGAGAACCACAGCTGCCAACTCTCAAAGAAATACATTTTCCTGGCCTTCAAATTGTCATATCTACCATCTATGCTGTTCACCAAAATCATTCCTAGAAAGGTTCTGTAAGGATGAGCAAAACTCAGATTTTTATACACTATTAAAACAAACAAATCCCACAAAATAACATACAGTTGTGTAGGAAATAACATTAATGTATTTTACATCATAAAAACTGATAGCTCTTAATCTCAGATAATAACTGGTTTATTGAGCAACCACTTTGGGCATGGCTTCACATTTATCAATACGCGTAGAAGCTTCTTTATGACTATTTTCAAAACAAAGGAAGCAACAGGATCAAGTTCACACAGATGCATTCTCCAAAGAGAATTTTCTTTCTACTGATGCTCCATGGACCCTCCCCCATGAGAGAAGAATTCCTTCTATCACTGGAGGTTCACCCCATACAGTTGGAAACAGAAGTTGTTAAATGAATTGTCCCTCCAAATTCACATGCTGAGGCCTAGCCCTCCATGTGATGGTATTTGGAGATGGTATTCGGGGTCTTTTGGGAGCTCATTAGGTTTAGATTAGATCCCAAGAATAAGGTGTTCATGATGGGATTTGTGGACTAGTAAGAAGAGACATCTAAGAACTCTTCACTGCTGTCTCTACCTGAGTACACAAAGAAGAGGACACTGGAGATGGCAGCCACCTACAAGCCAAGGAAAGACATCTCAGATTGAAAAACTACTTGCTGGCACCTTGATCTTGAACTTCCAGCCACCACAACAGAGATAACTGAATGTTTATCATTTAGGTGCCCCTATCTGGGGTATTTAGTTATGGCAGCCCCAGCAGGCTAACACATGGAGCGACCTATTATCTGTCAACGGAAGGCAATGATGCCTGTAAAATAGCCCAGTTTCCCAGCTCATGGTGATTTTTATTAACATACAAAAATGTCCCCCAGGGTTCTGATGGATGGAGAAGGTGGAAAATGCCCGTGGAGGCTCTTTACCTCTTATCACGTGTGGAGGGGGCGTTGACTCAAGTGGCTTGGCTCCTACCACAGGTAAGGCCATCGCTGGCGTTGGGGAGGCATTGGCCCAAGATGGGATGGAACCTGGAGCGACTCTGCTGCCATAATACAGAGCACCTGTGTAGAAGAACGTGCATCTGTCAGATTCCAAGGTTAGTTTTCCATAGAAATTGTGAGCAATGTCAACACAGCCCCCAGAAGGTCTCAGCTAGGGCTTTTTCACATTATTTTTAATGTGTTGTTAGAAATACAAGTTCAGCTGGAAAAAGAAAACAATACAAAGTGTTCAACAACTAAATGGAATTTGTGCATTTTTAAATGCATGATGGTATGTATCAATTAAAAACTCTATTTTATTAGATACAGTTAAAACTGAAATAGTTTCATTTTCCAAGGTCAATAGTTACAATATGCCTAAAATATGTTTGTTACAACTATTGAAGTGAAAACAAATTTAAATGTTGATTTCAAAAATGGGTGTGGGAGTTCACAGGTTTTCAAAATTCCTTTGGGAGATAAATGAGCAAAAAATGTTTAAAGACCACAGCAACAAACCATCCTCAAAGTAGGTTGAAGTGACAAGCTGGGACACATGGGGACACAGGCTAAGAGCAAGAGGAGGTCAGGGGCAGAAGAGAGCAGAGCTGCGGGGACTTGAACACAGGACAAGAAAGCTGCCCCGATCTATTGCAGAACACGGACCTGAGCAGCACGAGTGGTCCTGTGGAGGGGAGTCAGCCAGCATGCGTTCATCCCCAGCATCGTTCTCTATCACCATTGCAGTGAGCGGGGTCACAATGTGATGTTCCAGAGACATCTGCAGGATTGTTTTTGTAATTTTCCTTTTGGCAGCAGCTGTAGGAGCCAAGCTTCTGCATTTGGGAAATAGAGTCACTATAGAACATCACTATGTTTAAGGGTGAACTCAAGTTCCATACTCACACCCCCCCACTTCTGATGTCCAGCTAAAACCCTGGCCAGGCAGCTGGGGTGCACAAGGTAAAGGGAAACAGGTAATTGGCTCCATGAAGCTTAGTATTTTATCTAACTGTGCACTGCAAAGGGATTTTTTTAAGGCTTTATTTTTTTTTAGAGCAGTTTTAGGTTCACAGGGAAATTGAACAGAAGGTACCTAGCAATTTCCCATAAACCCCAGTGCCCTCCCTGCCATGCACAGCATCGCCTCCTGTGAACATCCTGCACCAGAACCACACATTTGTTGAACTGATGAATGTGCATTGGCCTGGAAGTCAGTAGTTTACATTAGGGTCGAGTCTGGGTGTTCCCACATTCCATGGGCTTGGACCAATGTATGATGTCATTTATTCACTGTTGCACTACCATTCAGAATAGTTTTGCTCCCCTAAAATGCTCTGTACTCCACCTACTCGTTAACCCCTTGCCTGAACTCCTGGCAACCACTGATCTTTTTTTTTTCACAGAGCTTTTTAAAAATCAATATTTAATTCCTGAAGCAATTTGCTCTATGCCTTTAAAACACATCCAGTGTTCCTCTACCAAGGGGCAGGGATATTTCTTGCTTAGCTCAAAGCCACAGCTTACAGCCTTGTGTATTTTTTTATAATCTTATTGACATCAGGGATTTTCTCTGTGAGTCCAGTTACACAATGGTATTTAATTTTCCCAACCTAGTTCAGATGACCTCATTCCATCTTCCTGAGAATCTGATCTAATAGGTGGAGTGGGGTTTGGGAATGGTCATTTCTATCAAACATCCCCATGTAATTCTGACACAGGTGGTCAAGGAGCCTACATTACTGTAGTAATGTAGTCCTTAAGTTGAGATGCATCTCAGCTGAGAAACCAGAGGTGACATAGACAAGCATTAGAGAGCCTTTCTTAGTGGATATCATAATCACATAGTGGTAAATTTCTCTTTGGACAATAACCCGTTTTCAAAAGTAAGTGCCTGCAATCCTAACTACTCAGGAAGCAGAGATCAGGAGGATTGTGGCTTGAAGCCAGTCCCAGGCAAACAGTTTGCAAGATCCTATCTCTAAAATACCTAACACACCCACAAAAAAAAGGGCTGGTGGAGTGGATCAAGTGATAGAGTGCCCACCTACCAAGCATGAGGCTGTGAGTTCAAATCCCAGTAACAACCCCTCAAAAAAGTAAATACAAATGAACTACCAATAGACACAGCAATATGGATAACTCTCAAAGACACCACATTGAGTGGAAGAAATTGCATGACTATGGGAAATTTAGTAATAGGCAAAACTAATGAATGGTGACTGACATCAGAATAAGGGTTTCCACTGGAAGTAGAGAAGAGACTAAGGGATCTCTCAGTAGTCCTGTATCTGGATTGGGATGGTGCTTACATGGGAGATATATATATATATATAACTGTAATTAAACTGTACAGTTAAATTAATGTACTACACATACTTTATGTGTGCTATACTTTAATTTAAAAAAAGTGAGAGAGAACCCAGCTTTAGCTGAAGTCCTGGGAAGCAGTAGTTGTTAATAAACCAAACCCTATGTTAAAGCACTGACTTTCTTGGCTACAGACTCTTTTTGTGCACATCCTCAAATATTCCAGATGAACAGTCCCTGTGGTATGTACTTTTCTCTCCTTACCTCTCTACTAGCAGTTGGTTGATTGTGAGATAGGCCCACAGTTTCCTGGTGAAGTCAGGGTCTGCATGCTTATCTTTTGACAGGAAGTCCTCCAAATCGTCCATCTGGGCGAGGGTTTCCAGGACCAAGTCGGTGCTAGCCTAGACCATGGAAGGTTCCGTTGAAGGACCCCAAGGGAGCAGAGTTGTAGTTAATCAATTCATATTTTTAGTACCTGCTCTGAGGGACTCAGAGCACCATGCACTATGGGGGAATCCAAGGGAAGTGGAAGATAGCATCTGCTGGGGAAGTCAGTGCACCCTCCAGCGGCTGAGCTTGGGCTTGGGTGAAAAAGTGAGGATTTACAGACTAGTTGGGAAGATGGCAGAGATATTCTCATGCCTTCTCTTTCACTTACTGCTTCCATTCTACACACGATTCTAGGAATGCAGAGGATTAGCTTGTTAGCACACAGATGGACTGCATGCTGGGGACCAGTTAGCGTTTTAAGAATGAGCAGGGAAGCAGAAGTACCGCAGTCGCGGTGATAACGCTCTGTAGTTGCTCCAATTTACTTGGCTCAAATTTTCCTGCCACAACAATCTCTGAACCTCCAAAGTAGTTGTAGAAACTGTTTTGAGTGACATCTGTTACTGACGTATGGGGGTAGTTGAATTGAACATTCCGGAGCAGTGGAGTAGAAACCTGGTTGTAGAATTTCTAGAATTCATGAAAAAAAAAAAAAAGAAAACCACAGGGAAATCATTATTTTCAGACCATTTTGTAGATCTAGCATCTTCCTCTGAAGTTCTTCACATACTTAGCAGACACTTCTTACTTTATTCTCATGGACCTCTGGGATAACGAAAAATAATCATGATTATTAGGTGATTATTGCAGACACAATAATGAGTTGCAGAGAAATTACCTATGATTTAAGAGCCAAGCATTTTTTCCCTTTGTTATGATCAGTATAAAAAACTCATGGACACTTGTAATAATAAAAGTCATCTGGGTAGATGTTCCCTGAATCAGAACTACATCCCCCACATGTACCCAGGTTTAAATATGGTCCTAGCCACTGAAATTGTTTTCTTGTCCACTCACTTAGTCAAGCAAATAATTTGCATTTTTTGCTTAAGGAGATGTAGATGCCATAGTCTGATCTGCTTTACATGATTTTCAAAAATTGATACCCAAGATAACAGTGCACTTCAGAGGGAAAGCAAGTGCCCATGATAATAGGAAGAGTGATGGCTCAGTGGGACCCATAACCAGCAGGAAATTGAGTGCCTCAGAAGAACTTTCTGTTCAGGGGTAGCGAAGGGGGGGACCTTTGGTTTTATTGACTCCCATCTTACTATAGTGCAGAATTCCAAGGGAGGGAGGTGATCTGTGAGAAAGGAATTGAACAGTTCCTTGAATCTTGTAAGTGAAATATGGCTGAAATAACAACAAATTTGAGTCAAACTCAGCTGTCTCCTTAGAGCATTAGATATGAGTAGTTGGATAATTTCTACTAAGAGGGAGAAAGCCCCTGAAGGAAATGCTACCTTGAGTTGGGAGGATGTGTCCTGGTTTCCATAAATCCTTTGAGCAATTCCATGGTTTTCACTGGACAGTCTCTTCAAAAAATCATAGTCAACATCAAATCCTATCCCCAAGCTGAACAAGGAGATGTTGTCTTGTATGTTCTGTTTCACATTTTTCTGAATTTTGGACAATTTTAGTTCACCTAAAGTTAGTGATGATAGAAAGAAAAGGAACATTGGAAAGTTCAGGGAAGGTAGTTTAGCAAACTTGATTTGTTAGACTAAAAATGTATTTACCCTTTGACATAGTTACTCAGCTTCTAGGATTTTGTTTTTGAATAGATACACCCAAACACATCAAAATAAAGAATGCACAATAGTACAAAGCAACATTACTTGAGAAGAGTGCCATATTGGAAGCACCTTAACTGTTCATCCCTTCAGATTGGTTAAATTGTGGTTATTTTGTTTGTATATATGCATGCATGTATACATACATACATACGTATATGTGTACATATGTATATGTGCCTGTATATACATATGTGTATGCAAATATGTATATAGAGTATGCATGAACTATTTCTGGAAACTGGTACCCAGGGACTAGCTCTAGGACAGGAACTGAATGACTAAGGCACAAGAGTGAGAAATAGATTTTAAAAAACCCTGTATTTTCCATTCCTTTCTTATAAATTTATTCAAAACAAGAATGTTAGAAGTTATCTGATTGGAGGAGGAAAAACATCAAATCTATAGCAAATACCTAATAATTCTCATGTGAGTTATTATTGCTATTATTATTATCCTATATGTGGTACAGGGGTTTGAACTCAGGGCCTCACACTTGCTAGGCAGGCTCTCTACCACTTAAGCCATTCCGCAGACTAGTGTCACTGATGATAAAATGGATATCCTTTGCCTTTCAGAAACACCTGTTGGCGTTGTTCCTTATTATGGCCTCACACATCTTCACTCCCCTCAGCCGTCACAGGCACAGGTTGGACATGGAAACAGTCACTACAGCACTACCTAGTATTCACTGTTACTTATATTTGTCACATATAGAGCACATAAAAATAAAAGTAGGAAACAGAAGTTGGGAGATGTTAAGACCAACTGGGAAATGGATAGGAAAATGACTATGGATAAGAAAAACGATGTACTCAAAGGTTGTATCAGAGAGCAGTCATTTCTCCAGTTGCCACTGGAAGAAATGTGGAAGACAGAAGAGAATCTGATACTGTGGGCTCTGGAGGTACCCCTGGGAGAGCTGGATAAAGATTTGTCATTCACAACTCCCACCACTATCTTTGCATACCCACAGTTGAGGAAATAAATGCATTTCACTGGTTTGTATAAGCACTCACATATGTGATTAGAATTCAAACTCAACTTTCCCCATATTGCAGGGGGAAACTGAGGCAGTCAAGAGCACCACTGAAAATGTCCGGAAACTGGCTTAGGGGGCAAGTGCTTCCAGGTCAGAAGACTTCTGTTAGGGAGCAGGGGCTTAAAGTACTTTAGAAACTCAAACTCCAAGAGCTTCTAAAGAGTTTTAGAGTTCCTTCATTAAGCAAAATGCATTCTTAAAAGCAACATTTGTCACGAAAAAATTGAGGTGAGACTTGCCTACTGTTGGATCTCCATCAGAAACCAAAATGATCAGAGAGACTGAGTTGGGATCCAACAGCCTCAAGTTATTGGCTTCATTCAGAATGAAGATTGCACGCAGGAGGGCTTCATTGATGTTTGTGCCTGTCAAAGTAATAAAATGTGTGATCACACATGCAATACACACACAAAATCGCATCCTGGATTCAGGTTCATCTGTCTAGTGATTACTTTTGCATATTTAGTCAATGTTAAAATCACTGGATTGCTTTTCAAGGGACATACATTTTGGTCTGCCTGGTCAATATCCCCTAGTGCAGTAAATTATTTAAACTAAACTATCCCCGTAGAGAAGAATGGCCACTTCAACACACAGGTCTGTCACTTTATAAGTCCATGAAGACAGTTAAATTTCATACTATGTAAGTAACAAAGACGGCTAGTGTTACTCACCGAACCCTTTTTAGTGAGAGATTGGACTGGTTCAACACTCACGTGGCTGGATTATGTGCTGAACTTTCTCCATAGTGATCACCATTTACCAATAAATGTGTTAGTTAGGCTAGACCGTTGCAGACTGGCAAAGACTATTGTGGTGGGGGAAAATGATTTTCAAGTGAACCAAAACTTGAAGCTTATGAAAGTTTTCTGCTGGACTTTAGGCCAAACCCACTCACCTCCACTGGGTTGAATTTTCTCAATGTATCTCTTGGCATCTGTGATTTGTGTTTTAGTAGCTGAAACTAAATCATTTCTCCAGGTTCGAACATTGTGGTTGAAATCGACCACAGAGAACTGGTCTTCGGCTCGTAGGTCATCCAGTATAGTCTTCATTGCTTCCACAGTCTATTGCAGAGGAGAATTAAGAAGGGTCTCATGACACGAAGAAGCTGAGAGGATGATCATTTGCCTTTCACCCTTCAAGTACTGACTCAATGTGAACTTCTTCAAGAAAGCCTTTTTTCACCCACCTCAGTCAGCACAGACCTGTCCCTCCTCTGTGCTGGACACGGATGGTTGGTTTTGGATACTTATACTTTTCCTGTCTGATTTGTTTTGCACAACCACTTTTTCCTAGTCTAAGTTTAAGTTAAGGACCACAAAACTTCAGGTGCCTGAAAATCAAATATATTTCTCAATCCCATTATTCACTCTCTTAAACTATTTATATATTTATTTGCTTATGTATTTATTTTGAGACAGGATCTCACAATGCAGGCCAGGTTGTCCTGGAACTCACTACGTAGTCCAGACTGGCCTTGAACTCATGATCCTCCTGCCTCAGCCTCCCAAGTGCTGGAATTAAAGGTGTGTCCCAACATACTTGGTCTTAAGCCACGGTTTTTCATGTTTTTTCTCTTCAAACTGTCTACATCTCTCTCTCCCACTATCTCAGTCGATGACCTCAATCATGCTTCTCTAAAAACGCAAGGATTCAGAAAGAAATTTCCATTGACTCCCACCACCATAAAACCACACCAATGGCAATATTTGAACACAAATACTGTTCCTTCCTGCCAAGTAGTCTAGAGCAACAAGCTCTATTTCTACCTACTGAAAATTCATTTATTGCAAACCACTGAAAGCCATGGTTCTAGTAATGATCCTTTGCTTCTTAAATCTCCCTCCTCCACTGGTAGATTTCCATGAACACAAAAGCATGCCGCTGTTTCTCGCCCTCTGAGAACTTCATTTCTGCCTCTTTTCTTTCTCATCAGCTTCTCTTTCATACATTCCTTCAATGAATTTCTTAATTGCACTGTCTTCAGAGATCCTCTTCCTATTTTCTTTTAAACTCCCTCCATTCAGAGGTTCATCCTCATCATTCTATTGAAACCACTCTTGTCAAGGTCACCAATGACCTTGATGTTGCTAAATCCAATGGACCATCTCACTTCTTGTCACACTCATCTTATTACCAGCATTTGAACAAACAGCTCATGCCCTTCTCCTCACTACAACTTCCTTACTTGTGTTCCAGGGTTTATTTTTTATTAGCTTTTTTTTTTAAGGCAATACTTGGGATGGAACCCAGGGCCTTGTGCTTACTGGGCAAATGCTTACTGCTTGAGCCATACCTCCAGCCCCTTCATTAGCTTTTGATTGCTCTCCATTGGTGCTCTCCTCTTCTCCTCCAATTCTTGGTATTGGAGGCTCCACTGTTCTACCTTGATCCTCTACTCCATCTGCTCCTTGGTGTTCCCACGCAGCCTCAACACTGTCAACACCCTCTGTGTGCTGGTGACCTCATGCTTTATCTCCACAGCTCGCTTTTGAGCACTAGCCTTGTATATCAGCAGCATCCTCAACAAGTTTACTTGGATGTTTTATAGACATCTCAAACTTAACATATCCTGACAAGTCCCCACATTCCTTATGTTGCCTGAGTCTGTCCCTGTCTTTTCTGATCACTCACAGCAAACTCCATCCTTCCAACTGCTCAGACTGAAGGCCTACTGGCATCTTTCCACTCTCTCTTCTCCTACTCCACAGCCAACCCTGAAGAACAGATTCCAGAATCCAGTCACTTCCTATCCACACCTTCTACCTGGTCCACTCTGCCATCCTTTCTTGCTTGGATTAGTGCAACAGCCTCTTTTGTGGCCTCCCAGCTTCCACCCTCACCCCTACACTACTCAGTTCTCAACATAGCAGCCAGAGAGACCCCTTAGCATGTGTCCCATCACACCACTCTTTCAGTCAAACACTCCTCTCCACTTGCTCCCTGTCTGTCTCTGAGGAAAAGCCAAGGGCCTGGGTGTGACCCAGCTGGCTTTCCATGATGCTTCCTTCTGTCTTTGTCTCCCACTGCTCTCCCTCACTGGCCTGCTCCCTGTTATTTGTCCCTGTCTGGTACACTTCTGACTTAGACTCATGGTGCAGGTTGCTCGTGTTACCTATCATGGTCTTCCACTTGACACCTGCACGACTTTGTCCTCAAAGAATTCTCAATATTTAACTTACACACTGACTTAAAGTTTAATCTTTCCGAAATTGGCATGACTGATTCCCAACATACTCCTCTTAAAAAACAAACAGAAAGCTTCCACCATTGAATGTCTTTTTTTTGTTTGGTTGGAGGTACTGGAATTCGAACTCAAATGGGACTTGCTAGGCAGGTGCTCTACTATGAGGGTTATGACCCCCCTCCCTCTTTTGCTTCAGTTATTTTTCAAGTATGGTCCTAGTTTATGTCCTGGGTCAGCCTGGGATCACTATCTTTTCCTACCTGATAGCTGGAATTACAGGGTTCCTTCACTGTGTAATTGATCGTTGAGATGGAGTCTCACCAACATCAGGCTGGCCTTAGAACTTTGATCTCCTGATCTTTGCCTCTCAGGTAGTTATCACTACAGGAATGGAATACCACATCCATTTCCCCCCTCTTTTTTAGTTTTTGGTTTGCTTGTTTGAGACAGGATCTCCCTATGTAGCCCAGGCTGGTCTTTAACTTAGGAATTTCCTGCCTCAGCTTCTGCCTCCCAAATGCTGGGATTACAGATATGTCACAACTTGCCCAGCTATAAATGCCCTTTTCCATTTTCTTTTGTGTATTATTTATTCTCTGCCCACCCCCAAATGTAAACTCATAAACTCCATGAAGGCAGGGATGAGTTTTTAAATTAAAAAAAATTCAGGCCAGGTGCAATTGCTCAAGCTTGTAATCCTAGTTACTTGGGAGGTGGAGATCCGGAGGGTTGCAGTTCAAGCCCAGTCCAGGCAAAAAGCAAGACCCCATCTCAACCAATGGCTGGGCTTGGTGGGTTGTATCTGTCATCCCGACTATGTGGGAAAGCACAAATAAGAAGATCATGGCCCAGGCCTGTCTAGGCACAAAGCAAGACCTTATCTCAAAAATAACCAACACAAAAGTTCTGGAGGCGTAGCTCAAGTGGAAGAGCACCTGTTCAGCAAGCATGAAGCCCTGAGTTCAACCCCTAGTACCACCAATTTTTTTTTTTACCCTTAACATGTAAGAATTGTACAAGGTAATGAGGTAGAGTGTGAAATATTTCAACACATGTGTACCATGTGCACTGATGGAGTCAAGGTAAAGCACGTGCCGTCCTACTCGTTCCTCTGAGCTTGGAGCCTTTGGGCTTCTCTCTTTTGTTTTCTCATAACATGATAGGTTACTGTGGGCTCCAGTCAACACACTGCACTGCACAGCACCAGAATTCATGCCTTCCAGCGAAGGGGTGACTTTCGTTGCTGATTTTTATGCTTTTGGTCTATTTCGCTCACTGATGAACTAAGTGTCTGACACATAGGAGATGCTTCACAAATATTTGTTGAATGAATGAAGGAAGGGAGGAGGGAAGCAGTGAATAAATAAATCATTGTTTTTGAGAAATGATTTTTAACTGGGAAAAAAAATCTCCCAGGGACATTGGACAATGTCTGATGTCTGTTTTTGTTTTTGGGTTTTTATTGGCTGTACAGAGGTGGAACTCAGGGCCTTATGTTTGCTAGGCAGGTGGTCTACCACTTGAACCACACCCTCAGTTCTTTTGCTTTAAGATTGTTTTTTAAATAGGGCTGGCACTTTTGATCAGGTCTGACCTTAGACAGTGATTTTCCTACCTCTGCCTCCCACATAACTGAGATTACTGGCATGAACCACCCCATGGGGCAATGAAGTCCTTTTTTAATTGTTGTGACCAATTAAAGGAGGGGAATAAATTAAAACATTTTCTTGTTTAATCTTTAGATTTGCTTCCTTACTGTTTATCATTGAATAAGTCAAAATTGAGCTCTGAACTGGAAGATTTGAGACAGGGTCACACTCAAGGACTTATAACTAAAAATGATGCCCATGGATGGACAGAATTAATATTGTGAAAATTGCTATCCTACTAAAATCAATCCAAAGGTTTGATGTAATCCCCATCAAAATTCCAGCGTCATTTTTCACAGAAATAGAAAAATGAATCCTAAAATTCCTATGGAAGCACAGACCCTGAATAGGTAAAATAATACTGAGCAAAAAGAGCAATGCTGAAGGTATCACAATCCCTGACTTCAAACTATACTACAGAGCCATAGTAACAAAAACAGCATGGTACCAGCAGCTAGTCATTGCATAAAGGATTAATATCCAGAATGTATAAAGAGCTCCAAAAATTAAACACCAAAGGAACAAACAACCCAACTAATAGATGGGCAAATAAATTGAGCAGACAGTTCTCAAAAGAAGTATAAATGGCTGGTAAATATATGAAGAAATGTTCACCATCCCTTAGCCATAAAGAAATGCAAATCAAAACAACCCTGAAATTCCATCTAGCCCACTCAGAATGGCAATCGCCAAGAAAACAAACAACAACAAATGCTGGAGAAGATGCAGGGACAAAGGAACCCTTACACACTGTTGGTGGGAAGGTAAATTAGAGCAGCCACTATGGAAATCAGTACAGAGGTTCCTCAAAAAACTAAAAATAGAATTAGCATTTAATCCTGCTAGACCACTCCTGGGTATATATCCAAAGGAATCCAAGTCCGCATACAGTAGATACCTGCTCGCCCATGATCATAGTCAAACCAGGAAACTGGCCCACGTGCCACCTACTGACGAATGGATAAAAGAAAATGTGGCTCCTACACACAACGGAGTATTATTCAACCATAAAAAAGAATGAAATGACGTTGTTTGCAGGAAAATTAATGGAACTGGAGATCATCATGTTAAGAGAAACACCCAGAAAGACAAATATCACTTTTTTCTCAAATGTGGAGTCTAGATCTAAAAAAAAAAAAAAAAAAGAGTAGCAGTACAAAAGGGGAGCTGTGTGGGGGTACGAGTCAGCAGGAGGAGGGAAGGTGAAAGGAAAGGGTGGAATATGATCGAAGTACTTCATACACATGTATGAAAATAGAATAATAAAACTGTCAAAATTATTTAAAGGGGGAGAGGGTAAAAGAGAGTTATACAGGGGGTGAACTTGATCTAAGTACATTATATGCACGAATAGAAATATCACAATGAAACCCTTTTTGTACAATTGATACACTAATTAACAAGAAGAACGAGGGGCCGGGGATGTAGTTCAGTAGAGTGCTGGTCTGACATAGGTAAAGCCCTGTGTCTGATCCCTAGCACTGCCAAAAAAAGAAAAATGGTATGCAAACGATGATTTCAAGTTCCTGATGAATAATGGGAGACGTTAAAGTCAAGCATGCAGAAGAACTAAAAGAATATGACTTGAAGAGTGACCAGAGAAAGGAGAGGTCATGCAGAGACAAAACTTTTCAAAGAGGTGAGTTTTGAGATAACTTTTCAAGGAAATACTGAACACCACAGAAAAGAGGGAAGAGGAAGCAAGAATCAGGGGATGAGCAGAAAGGAAATTTTACAACAGGGAATGACTGGGCAAATTCCTAGGAAATAAACAACAATCCCAACACCGTAGAAAGAATTGTCACCCTCACTCTATAACCACAGTTTCTGAGTTTTAGCCCAAAGAGGAGAGGAAGAGAGGCCATTGAACTACTGCATTGTTAAGACAGGACTGAAGAAGGTGGCAGGTCCACCTGCCACTACAGACCAGGGTACTTACTTGTTTCATCTTAATTCCCCACATGGAGCCGCTGACATCGATGACAAAGAGGATGTTTTTGGGAATTGGGTCCAGGTTCTCAGGAGCAAAGAAGTGGACAAAATAGCCATTAAATACCTGAAAATAGAATGTAAGTGTTTCAGCCCATGATCAATGTTTAGAAGGTAAGGAATGGGGGCCTAGGGACTCTAACAGGAGAGGAGAAGGGGGAAGGGGGCGAGGGTCTCACAAAGATGGGAACAGCAGTGGAAGCTTGGTGCATATCCAGCGCTTCCTTTTCTGGCTGCTTCTCCATGCCCTCTCCTGTGGAAGGTCACATCTTCCTAGCAGTTTCTACTCCTCTCCATCCAGTCTTTGTCTTAAGTTCTAGGCACCCCGCTAACTAACCATGAATCAGGCAGTCTCTGCCCTCATGAGACTTCAGCCATTGGAGGCCACAGACAATGACAGGCTGTTTGTGACAGAGCACGTTAAGTGCCATGATTAAGAAAGTAAAGGACTTCAAGTGACCTCAAACATTTAACTCAGATAAGAAAGCTTTCTCAAAGGAACGGCCTCTCTGTTGGGACCTGAGGATGAGCTTGGAATTAGCTCACCATTGTGGGAATTGAGCTGGGTTAGGGTTTAGGAGTTGGAAGGAGAATTCCAGACAGTGATGGGAGAACATGGCACATTTCAGCAGGATGGGACCTTGGAATCAAAGAATCCAAGACATGAGGCAGAGAGTCCATAGGACAGATCACAAAGACCACTTAGAGAATTTGGATATTCCTTGAAGTTAGTAGGAAACCACTCAGCTAGATTCCTGACAATCCTCTTTGACTTCCAATGAGTGGCTTTCCTGTTCTCTTTCTCCTGCCCTTTGATTGTTTCTACAGGGCACATGGTTGTGGTCTCCAATATACCTCTTCACTCTCTGTCCCTAGACAGGCTTGTAAGCTTTCTGGTAAGCTGCATGGGGTGTAGACAACCACTTAAGATACACCAAAAGAGGAAAGGAAAATCTTCAAGGAATCACATGACGAACATGAACCCTGGAATTCACTACTGACTCCATATCTCCCTCTCGACTTTAGCTGTGTCTTTCTCCTTGGCCCACAATCTTTGTTTTCTGTCATTATCTAATTGCAAAGGACCTTGGGAAGTTATCTAAAATTCCCATTTTGCAATTTTCTATTTTTCATAGGAGGTCTACAGTGTCCTTCTGGGACAAAGGCATGAGACCAGCTGTGGTTTGAATATTGGTAGTGTCCCCCAAAGGTACATGTGTTAAAGGCTTGATCTTTAGGGTGCTTTTATTGAGAGGGGATGTGGGCTGTTTGGAGGTGGAGCCTCATGGGAGGTCCTTAGGTCATGCAGGTGTACCTCAAAGGAGATTGTGAGACCCTGGCCTCTTCCTCTCCTTCTCTTTTGCTTCCTGGTCATGAAATGAGCAGTTTTTGTTCCACCATGCTTTCCCTGAAGGCTCCTTCACTAGAGGCTTAAAAGCCATGAGTCTGCTTGATCATAGCAGAGCCATGAGCTAAAACAAACCTTTTTCTTTATAAGTTATTCATCTATATACTTTGTTATACTGACAGAAAGCTGACTAATACAAGACCCAATGAACTTTAATTTAGTGTTTATGACAGAAAAGATAATGCCTAGTGGCATATTAGAGAAATAGGATTTTGGTCCCTTCTCTGCAACCTTGACACTTGCCTCAGTAGCTAGAAAGCGCCCACAAGCCAGGGAGTTTGTTCAACACAAAGGAGTTCCTTGGCTTCAATGTGGCCATTCTCCGGGAGCCCGATCATACTCACCTCGAGCTCACCAGCCTTCTCTTCTCTGTTCACATCATACATCATCACCAGCTCCCCATCTACTGCAGTCTCAGAGCAGTTGGAACACTTTCTTTGCTGTGCTACTGTGGGCTTGAAGGAGACATGTGCCTAGAAGGAACAGGGGCATCAGAAGCTGGTCTCTGCTCCCAGCCCTGCCAAGTGAGGGTTTGGTAGCTGCACCTGTTCATGCACACAGGTGAAGGGGTGTTGCCTGGTGGCCACTGTGTATCCAGTCAGCATCAGCAGGCCTTTTACTGGTAGAAGGGACAGAACCAAGGCTTTCTAGGGGAAAGTCTGCCACACTGTGGTGCTGTTGGCCAGGTATCAGACCTTTTGAAAAGAGAGTCAAGAGTTTACCCTGTTTACCATGGAAAGGATGACTACCAGCTCTGGAGAGAGGTTGTGGAAGGTTCTTAAAGGAGTTTGACCTCTTCATAGTTGCTTGTCATTGATGGTCAAAGTGGAGAATTTGTTTCTATGATTCATGAAAACCCACTACGTACTATGTGAAAGCATTCTGTAGCTACAGGCAAGTAGGAGAATCACTGGTCAAAATGGAACAAGACAATTGGGAGTATTGTTTTGTATGTTCAATGGGAAACCCTATGTTCTGCTTAGGGACCACTGCTCCTTCATGTAGTGTCCTCAGTGCCATGCCATATCACCTTTTTATTCACCAGAGCACAGGAGAACAGAGCCAGGGGCTAGCGGCCACTTTGATGGTTGGCAACATACAGGCTTATGGTACCTTCTGGTGTCCTTTGGATATGACCGGAACACCATCAAAATGGCCTTCAAATGTGTCTGGAACATGTAGAAATCTTATTCCCTGAGGTTCAACAATCCATACATTCACCTAGAGATGGGAAAGGAAATCATAGCATGAAGTCTTTAAAGTCTTTTAAAGCAAGAAGTAAAGTGACTACTAAATCCTCTCATATTTCCATCATCTCCAAGCATGGTTCTTTGATCACTTCTGGAAGGTCTTAAGTTCTCTGGGATGGGATCCATCTTACCATGGAGACTTAACCCCTTCCTAGCAGTTCAGCCCTCTGTTCTCATTCCTCAGGTTTATGTCCTCTTTGCTATGTTTAGATATGGATTTGGGTGTGTCTTCTAAAGGTTCATGTTCTGGAAGCATTGTCCCTGGTGTGGCAGTGTAAATGTGATAGAACTTTTAAGAAGTGGGGCCTAATGCCAGGTAATCAGGTTGTGGGGGTTCTACCTGGAATGGGATTACTGGGGGTTCTCAAGAGAATAAGTGGTTATAAAGTAAAGCCACCTCCCAGACTGTCCTACTTTGGCACATAGCCAGGTCTCTTTCAGTTCTCCACTTTGTTATGGTGCAGCCAGGGGGCCTTTGCTAGCATGCTGGCACCATGCTGTCTGTATCCACGGGCTACCAGATCATGACCCAAATCAACCTCTTTGCCTAGAAACTATCCAGCCTCAGGGGTTGTGGAATATCTGAAAGTGGTTAATATTATTCCATTTTTCATACTATTCTACTATTTTTATTTATAGGAGCATTCATGTTGTTACAGAAAAAAAAGAAAAAGGAAAGCAATAATTAAATTATTCTGTATTTACTCTAGAGTTTCCAAAAATAGAATATTTCCCCTGCATCCTGGATTTCTCATTCCTTCTCTGTGTTTTTGCTTTGAACAGAGCTCAACAGGGAGAAATTCCTTATGATGATTCTACTTTCCTCTCCTGTCCTCTCCTCTCCTCTCCTCTCTTCTCTCTCCTCCACTTCCCTCCCCTCCCCTCCCCTCTTCTGTTCTCCTCTCCCCTCCCAGGTAACTAGGATTTACAGACATGAGCCACTGCACCCAGCTCTAATATTTTATTATTTCTAACATAAGATATGAACTTAACTTGCCTTCTAGATATTGTTATGCCCTGTTTTTCTACACTGGCATGAACTGTCTAGTAGAAACAAGGGAAAAAGATGTCTCAGAAGAGTCTGACCCCATGATCACTGGTAGATCATGCAGAGGCTCTTGGAGGAAGGGAAAAAGTCAGGGAAGTTGCAAAGAACTGGAACTCTTCCACAGATTCCCTCTATAAATGATCAAAGGGTCTTCAGGACAAGGTTTGTTCTCTCCAAGAGAGGATGAAAATGGAAGGAGAATTTTCCCTACGGTTGTGGAAGCCCTTAGCATATGCTGTGTTCCATTTGACACAGACACAGTCACAAAGTCTCGTAGGACCCACTGGGACACTGAGCTTTTGGGAGTGTGTGGTTCTGCTGAGAGGTTGGGACTAGCCCATGCTGGCTTTGAGTCACTCATTCACTGTATTAGGTAGTCTTTCTCTAGGGAATACAAGCATCAGAATAAAAGAATATTTTTATTGTATTTTGGGGAATGCTCCAAATCCGATATATCAAGGGAGTTGTAAAAAAAAGGGGGAGGGTCTTCTCCTTGATTTCTGTGAGGGAAATTTAGTGGCTCCTTCTGATGGCAGTTAGAAGTGTTCTCAAATAAAGGCAAGGAGAAGGTCCTTAATTTTATAAAGTTTTCTCCTTAATGTATCTCTGGGTAAGATAAATCTCTGGAAATGAATAAATGCCACAGAATGTTAGAGTTGAGAATTACCTTAGAGATCTTCTGTTCAACTTCCCAGTTTCATAGATGAGAAGTTAAGGCCAGAGAAGCCTAAATTAAATTACCACCCAGATCCTAGAGGTAGTCAGTGCTTATTGCGGGCCAGGACTTGCCTTTTTGCCTAATGCTTTCTCATATAGTAAACTCAGTTGTCCTATTTTTAAAAGAAGGAATTCTTAAGAGCATGGAAGATTGAAGAATAAGAAATGGTGAGAATGAGAAATGTAATATTTGTGTGCATGCTACCTGACGTGTGTAAGAGAATCATTATCTGCATGGATCTAACTTAAACCTTGGATTTGTAGCCTACAAATTCCAGACACAGGCTCAAAACTTAATTTTTCTTAGCTCTTTGATGTTTTAACTGTTTAACTAAATTCCATTTCCACATGTGTAAATTAAGGATAAAAAATGTCTACCTCATAAACTGTGATGAGGAGTCAAGGGCACAATAGGTATAAATGCCTTCCCCCAAGTACTATAGAGGACACATAGCGTCATGTCATTCACTCAGTTTTTTCATTAATATTGAACAGCCTCAGCAATGGCCTCATTATGAGATGCTGTCACATTTAATACTGCCTCATAATATTTATCATGGCTTCAAGATATTGATCAACAAGAGAGTTGGATGACTGGCACACATCCATTATCACTAGTGCAAAAATAACCAGGATCAAATATTTAGTTGTGTGGAGCATCTTGGCAACTTATTAGCCAAACCATGTGTCCTGGCACGTGGTGATACTTGCCTGGATGAAAGGTATCTTTTTTTTTTTTAAATGGGGCAAAAGTATCTTTTTTTTTTTTTTAAATGGGGCAAAAGTATCTTTTTTTTTTTTGTCTGGTGGTACTGGGGTTTGAACTCAGGGCCTCATGTTTATGAGGCAGGTGCTCCCCAACTTGAGTTACTCGATGCCCGAAAGGTCATCTTTTATTAACTCCCATAAAAGCATCCTATGTGCTAGGAGAGATCCAGAAAAAACTCATCAGCATGTATCCTGATATGGGATTTATCAGATATGCAGATTTTAACATTGGAATTAGAATTTCACTATACCTATGGGCAATTTGCAACCTCTGCTTTCCTTTCTCATCTGTCAAGAGGTATGCAGTGCATGCCCCCAGGTCTCTTCTTGCTTTTCTCTGCCTCTCACACAAAGTGTTCATAGGGTGTCACATATTCAAGCAAAGAAAAGAGCATCTCAATTTCTGAAGGAAGAGATGACTGTGAAGGTCTTGAGTTCAAATGGAAGCCAATGCAAATTAATGCCAAGGGCATTGCTGTCTTCAAGGTTGGCTGAAGTGATGGGGAAGACAACATTCACTGACTCCTAGTCCCAATGGAGGAAGAAATTAGAGTGACATGGCTACAAGGCCACAAGTCAAGGAATGCCAGCAGCTGCCAGAAGTGAGGAGCAAGGAACAGAATTCCCATTAGAGCTTCCAGAGGATATGTTGCATTCTCTCGATTCAAATTGGAATTCAACTTTCACCACGATTAATTCATCTTCTTTCATCTTTTGTATCTATGAGCAATTCATGTGGACTCTGCTAGTTCCTTGATTTCAGACACCTGTCCTCTTAGACTATGAGGGAACAAATTTCTGTTGACCTAAAAAAAGGATGTTGGCCTAAAGCCTCATATTTTGTGGGTAATTTGTTATGGTCACCTTGGAGCACTATTAGCCAATAAGGAGCCAAGCTTTTGTTGGAATCTGTACTAAAGTGGTGTGGTTAACTTTAACCCCAAATATCTTCAGTTCACCGCACTGTTTCACAGTCAAGTGCATCAAGCACCACTACAGAAAGTAAAAATGGGGGATAGGCGCTATAAGAGAATGGTGTTGCTATGTGCCCTACAAGTCCCTGCTTACCTCGAAGTGTTTGGCCAGCCGTCCAGGCTGCAGATGAAGTCTGTGCTCATAGGACCCAAGCTTCCTCCACTTCACTTCCTGATAATGAAGTTCAAACTGCACCTTTGCTCCAGGAAGGATGTTTACTTCAGTTTTGAAGTTCTCCATATCAAGAGCTCTGCTCCTATATATGAAAGTCCCCAACATAAGTCATCACAAATGTGACTCAGAGTCTATACAGAGGATAGCTCATCCTTATCTTGCACAATTAGACCTGCTCAGTTATTCTTGAACTAGGTACACCAGAGAAACGTGCAACTTCTAGATAAATTTCATCCCCCCAGGAGTTTCAGTCTCTTCTTCTACCTTCTAATCATCTGCAAAGAACTACCATAGATTGGTGGATAGCTTGTGCCCAGAAGTGGCATACAGCATAGCTGAATCAGCACTTCTGCAGGATGGACATCTCTATCCTCAATTTTTAGATGGTAACAAGCAAGGCTCACAGAGGATAAGTAACCTCAAGACCCTACAGCAAATCAGTCATAGCACCAGTACTCAAATCCAAGTTTATTTATTTATTTATTTATTTTCAAATCCAAGTTTAGATGCCTCCAGAGACAGCACTTACTATCTACACCACATTCAGAGACTTATTGAGGGGTTCTTCATATGTTTGGGAGCCTTTGGGGAGAAGAATTCCATTATCTCATCACTCTGAATATTTCCAGTGTAAGGCCTTGTTTGCCACTGGACACACTGAGTCCAGTGAGATAATTGATCTTGAGGTGTTTAAGGTTTCAAAGAGAAACCAGCACGGTTATCCAGTGAGGGTGGTTCCAGAATTAAGATGAATGCTTGAAAAAATGAAATAAATAAATAAGCAAGGAGAAATTGTGGATAATCATCCCATTTGGGATATTGGGTATTCAAGAAAAAGGTGAATGTGGCTGGTACCAAGTTTTTAGGTAGAACTTTCTAGGAGAGGCCATGTTTGTCTAGGGGGTGGGCTGGAAAGTGAACTCCAGATTCTCTGCTAAATGTCCTGTGTCCAGACGAGTTTCTGTGGCAAAGTCATACTTGTGGTATGAATAAATAAATGGCTGATGTGATCCAAATGATGGCTAAAGATGGCAAAGTGATTTGTGACTATAGAAGGACTGATTAACCTGTGGTAACGCTAGAACTGTTAGTCCCCCCTTGAAATTTTTCTCTTCTTTGTCCACCTGACTGAATTCCATGTATCTGTTTGGGCTTAGCTGAAAAATCATTTCTCCATGAAGATTTACTGGACCCATTACAGAACAGCAGAAATAAACACATGGTACTGAACTCCATAGTGATTTGTTTTGTTTTTGTTTATTTTTTACAGTGCTGGGGATTAAGCCCTGGGCCTTATGTGTATTTCTACCTCCAGCCCTCCCATAATTTTTGTATCGTTGCTCACTATCCACAGGGTAGTCACCATTTTCTTGGCTCTCTTCTCCATCAGTGTTTGTTTTTGTGTTGATGCTGTCTCTAATAGCACAGGGTATAGAATTGACATTCAATGCATTTTTGTTGAATGAATGAATGCATGAGCAAAATGAAAAGAACTTCAGCTGGACATAAGTTTGGGGATATAGAAAAGAAGGTGAAGAAGAAAAACCATGGCAGAATTTGGCAGAAGAGGAGGCATACAATGTAAGAAGTGATAAGATTCCTTTGACGTTTCATATTCGAAAGGCTACTTTTTTGAGGTGGATCTTATGTGGCATAAGGAAAAAAAAAAATCCCTAGAATCTAAGTTTAGTCATTATTGCTTCAGAAGGTCCTATGCCGTAGCCCTGTGCCACAAAATAAGGCAGAACAAATCACTGAAACAAATTCCTAAGGCTTTCCTTCTGTATATATGTTAAGTTTTGTGACAAGATCACCAACTCAGTATTTCTATCTTTGCACTTTTTAGAAAAAAATCAGAGTTTATTTATGGAACATCCATCTACCTGTGAGGTAAACAATGTAAGCACAACCCTTGTGACATCTTCCAAGTCCCTTTTGGTAGAAGAGAGACCTTTAGGGAAATAGACATTGCAGGGCCTAATTTTACCATCTGACTGAGAGTCTGGCACTTGTTTAGGTTGTGTTTTTCTGGAGCCTGGTTTGTACCAGGGGAATGGGCTAGAGGAGAAGGCATGCCCTGTTCACTCAGCCCTTACCTCACCAATCCAGCCGTTTTGCCTTTTGCTCTTGCCTGTGAGTAGAGAGCTCGGCCCACAGTTTTCTCCTTGATGGCACTAGTAAATGTCGTGCCATCCACAGTCCTAGAAGATAAACAGGCAATGAGTTGGTCAGAATGGGTCTCATGAAAACTAGCAAACAACAAGCAATCAATCCAACGAGGTTGTTTTAATGAGTGGGGGAAATGATCCTTTGACATCTGGAAGAAATAAGAAGAGAGATACTTGAATAAATCATAGCTGGGACTCCCTGCATCTGAAAGTATAATTTAAGAGGGGCTAGGTTGGTTCCCATTCTAAAAACTTTCCCTCACATACTGGTACTTGTGTTTAAACTTTTTCATATTTAATGCTTATTTTTCAGATTAAGCATTGTTTTCTTTGTGTATAGTTTTTGAAGGACAAATGAAGGCGATTGTTAAGTAACTAGCTGATTCACATTTGGTTCATCAGATCATCCTTTTGAGAATTAAGAAAGAGGCATAAGGCTTATACAAGAGACTGAATGTGTCCCACCAAAACTTGTAAGTTGAATCTTACCTCTCCAAATGATAGTGTTAGAAGGTGGGGCTTTTAGGAGGTAATTAGGTTCTGAGAGTAGAGTTCTCATCAATAGGATTAGTTCCCTTATAAAAGAGAACCCAAAGAGCTCTATTGCCCCTTTCTACCATGTGTGAGCAGCAAAGATAGCCATCATGAATCAAAAACCAGATACTGACTCTGCCAGCACCTTGATCTTAGACTTTTCAACCTCCCAGAGGTATGAGAAGTCAATTTTTGTAGTTTAAGCCCACCCAGTATGATTTGTTATAGAAGCACCAGCTGAGACAAGGCAGTAAGCTCTCCTGCAAGGAAATGGAAAGAATATGAAAAGATCAAGAAAGGTGTAGGTGAATTCCTCGTTATCCTATAACATCTCCCTTGGGGACCTCTGTCTTTCCTCTGTATCTCCATTTCCACCCCTTAGCTGATTAGACCTAATCCTCATCAAGTAATGGTTGGTTATTGAAATGGGTAGCATCTGTCCCAAGGAGGCATTTAGCAGTATATGGAGAAGTTTCTGGTTGCCATAGTGACTCAAAAGTGCTACTGGCATTTATGGAAGAGCACCAAGGACACACGATGGTCCCTAATGTGAGGGATGGCGTCACTAAAAGGTTTCCTCCAGCAGCACCTTCCTAAGTTTCCCTTTTAGATGAAAGAAAGCGGACCCAAGTAGGTAAGTGGCTCAAGGTCACACAGCTGGTCAGAACCAGAGTGAAGCAGGAGTTTGTGGGTCTGGGCAGCACCCTTCCACCAAATTGGAGTACGGCTCAAAGACCCATGAGTCCTTAACACAAAGGAGTCATCTTCCATGGTAGAATACCGGGACCTTGATAGAAAGGCAGATGGCATATTTTGGTTGGGATGGAGGTCTATGGGTCTCATTTGAAATTATGATGATTAAATAGATATTTTCTTGGATTTTATAAATTCAGCCCTGGGTAGAGGGAAAGCAGGAAAAATGTAAGCTTTACAACTGTCTTTGGTCACCTTGACATTGGCTATGAGATGAGAAGGGGCAGAAATTTAAAATAAGACTAAAAGAAAACAGAAAGAAGTGATGCCTAAAATAAGTTCTGACGATGTGGTTTAAAATTAGGAATTTAAATAGCTTAAATGTGATTTCTAGGCATGGTGTCATATTATTCTTTCTTTGTCTTCTAAAGAAGGCTGACTAAAAAAAAGTTGTAAAATTTTAAGCCAATTATAAAGATAGTAATTTGCATAATGCTTTTTTACCATCTACTTTGGGTTTATTTTTGTTTTTTAGTTGTTCTGTTTTTTTGGCCAATACCACTAATACGGATCTGAAGATTTTACCAGTCAAAGCTTGCTAGCTGAATCTCTTATCTTATTCACTCACAATTGTCATTGATTACGTTGGTGTATGAAAGACAAAAGCAAGTAAGAATTAACTCAACCTAATATCTTAATGATAATAATAAAGAGGGGTGCTGGCAGCATGGCTCAAGTGGTAGAACACCTGCCTAGGAAGTACGAGGTCCTGAGTTCAAATCCCAGTACCTCCAAAAATTGCCAGACCAAATATACCAAGTAATTGTGCCCTGTTCTAGGCAACCTAAGAGAGGCAGTGACCAATAGAAGCACTCTTACAGAGCTCGCTCAGGGAACAGAAAACCATTCCAATCATCCTAAAGAACAGGGAGTATTTAGACTTCATAAACAACCCTGCAAGTGGATAATTGGCCTTTAGCATTTGAATGATATTGGAGGAGTTGAAATTTTTTTATTATGGAATTTTTAAATATATAAAAACTTGAGAGAATGGTATAAGATACCTCCATGAAACAACCACTGAGCTGTACCATTATCAATACTCAACCAGTGTTAATTCATCTATATGCCCACACTTTCTACTTCAATTTTTTATTCATTATTATTACTATTATTATTGTATTGGTGGGATTGGGCTTTGAACTCAGGGGTTTGTGCTTGCAAAGCAGATGCTCTACTGCTTGAGTCATACCTCCAGTCCATTTTGTTCTGGTTATTTTGGAGATAGGGGATATGGATGGCCTCAAACTGATCCTCCTGATTTCAGCTTTTCAAGTGGCTAGGTCTAGGTGTGAGCCACTAGCACCCAACCATGCTTCAGTTATTTTGAAGTCAATCTCAGACAGCATATTAACTGATCCATCCACACTTCAATATAGAAGATTATTAAAAAATTCTATGTGAGTAGCACTAGCGTCATTGGGTAGTAAATGGAAAATATTTCAATTAAGTATAAGAAATAATTCTAACAAAGCTCTCAACCATTGAGCAGGTTGCCCTGGGAAGCAGTGAGTTTATCATTAAGGAAAGAGTAGCGTCAGGTCCAGTAACACATATGTGAGTGATATAACAGAGAATTCAATGCTAAGTGACTAGGCTTAGTGGTTCTGAACTTTTTTTTCCCCCATAGAGAAACATAAGCACTGACTTACTCCACACACTCACATGAGGTCTCCTATACACTAGGGCTGCTTCATATAATTTTTCTCCCCAAAGAAAACATATTAAAATGCAAGTAAATGGGAGGTGGTTACCATAGTGATAACCTCAAGGTTGCTTTAATTTATTAGAAATGAAAAGCAAAATCTTTGTGAATTCTGATACTTTGAACAGAAATAAATTACAGGGATCCACTCAGTAATTCTTGAAGTCCAGTGGCTCCATAGCTCTGGAAGTGTGGACTACCAGAAGAGTGGACCATGATGGTCCATTGTAATACGTAGAGTGAAGTCCAATTTCTGGTTCTGTGCAGGAGTTACTCACATGGTGAAGTTGGAGATGAAGGCTCCTTTGGGGATCTGAACATCAAACACAACATTCTGAGGCTGTGGGGAGTTGTTCACCAGTTTGCTCTGGATGATGGTAGTGGCCATACGAGAAGTAATGGTGGACTGGACTTTATAGCTATAGAGAGTTACTTGATCAACATCCTGAAACAGGCAAGAAGGCACAGCTGTATTCAGAAAAATCACACAGATGGTCACTGTGTAATGACGTCAACAGCAGTAAATATGCAATTTAGGTATCGTTAAGCAGTCTCCTAATTTGTTGGAACATTCCCCAAGAAGAAGTGGGTCTTTGTTTTGAGAAACTTTGAGATGACTTTTAGCATTCTGAGTCTATAAAAAATGCATTTTTTTGATGAATGGATAAAGAAAATATGGTACATATATATAAACAATGGAGTATTATTCAGTTTCAAAGAAGAATGAAATTATGTTATCTGAGGGAAAATGGATGGAACTGGAGATCATCATCTTGAATAAGCCAAGCTTACAAAGACAAATTATCACTTATTTTCTCATGTATGGAGTCTAAACCTAAAAATAATAATAATATGGAAAGATTGTAAAAGGAGGACTGTTGGAGGAGCTGGAACCAACAGGAAAGGTAGAGGGAAAGGGGAGGGGTGATGAGGATGAATGATAGAAGTACATTTTATATATATATAAAGATATATATATGTGAAAATATCACAAGGCTTGGGGTGGTATTGCACACCTGTAATTCTAATTACTGGGGAGGCACCCGGTTGGAGGATCACAGTTCGAGGCCAGTCCCTGGCAAAATGCCAAACTCTATCTGAAAAATAACTAAAGCAAAAAAGGGATGGGGAAGTGACTTAGGTGGTCAAGTGCCTGCCTAGTAAGTGTGAGACTCTGAGTTCAAACCCCAGTACTGCCAAAAAACAAAAAACAAAAAGAAAAAGAAAAGAAACATCATAATGAAATCCAGTGGAAAGTGTAAAAACGAGATGGGAAGAGATAAGAAAGAGTACTAGAGGAAGGAATTTGACCAAAGTACATTGTGTGCATGCATGGAAATATAACAATGAAACCCTTCATATAGTTAATCTAAGTTAATAAAAAGGAAAAAAAATTTTTTTTTTTTTTTTAAGAATCCAAGTACAAAACTGTTGTACGGGAAGCAAGGTTAGATTGAGGAAGTTCAGGAAATAACTACAAATGCCAAGCCACAGGTAGGGAAAGGGGGCAGCATTGCCAGGCTGGAGGTGACCCTGCTGTGTCTTCAGAGCCAGGGTCAGCATGGGTGCTGTGGGGTGAAGGACGCATGCAGCCCTCCACCCCAGATGGCTACCTCCCTCCCTTCTTCACTTTCCCCTTTATTTCCAGTCTTCGTCTTGTTCCCCAAACTAAAACTATGAGGACACTGGTGGGTGTGAGCCCTGAACGGCGTAGCCAAGCGAGGGCATTTTGATATGATTATTGGCCCAGCACTCTGGACCTCCTTTTCCATCCTGCTCTATCAATTTAAGACAGCCCCAGTGTAAAACAAGAAATCACAGATGTCAGTCTGCTTAAACACAGGATATGAAAAACATGCATCTCTCAGCAAAGACAAACTTCTTGCAGGTTCATGGCAATTATGTGACCTGCTAGATTTAGTATTGTTTTTCCCGCCAAGAGGATTTGGCCCTATTCCCCAAACTGTGCTGTCCTAGATGAAATCTTTCAACTAGCTAGTACTCGGTTCATCTCAAGCGAAGATAAAATTCCAGCTAATTTACTTGCCCTTATGTGTGAGCTCTGATGGTCTCTATAAGCTCAGAACAGGAAGTACAACATAAACCACTTCGTTTGAGTGTTCTCTGGCTGCAGGAAGGCTAGGGTATTGGGTCATTTCACATCTAAGGGTTCCTTTCTGTAACCGTCCTTTTATTCTCCAAAGCTGTCACGTGTCATTGTTTAAATCAAAAGTGAAGTAAATATTTATGGTTGGATGAAGCTTAATGCTGTCAGCAAAATTTGAGAAAATGTAGAGAAAAGACATTTTCAGCATTTGGTGGCATCTTCTCTGACTCAAATACTGTACTCTTCAATGCTGAATTTTAGAAACACTTTCAAACAGAATTGAGCAAGGGATTTCAAAAGTCAAGTAAATACTGTCCACGACAAAGGAGATGCCTGGATTAATTCCCAGGTAATAGTTAACAGGAAAATCATTCAGACATTAACTCGTAACAAAAACAAAGCAAACTTACCATCTTTTCTCCAGAATCTTCAGAAAGGCTTCTCTGTGAAAGGAAGTTAGACAATCATTCTGCAACTGCATGTTACTTATTATCTCGAGGGCAAAATCTGTTCTCTCGGTCAAAAAACTTTTTCCTTCAATGTTGAGCCTCATTCACTGAAGCCAAGAAATAAATATGGAATATTCTCGAAAATTATTTTCCCACTGGTGAGTGTCTCTGAACAACTTTCTCCTCTATTTCTGGTTGCACACACATTGCTCTATGATACAATGCAAAAACAAATGTATTTTAAAATGAAAACACCCAACTACTCATCCTGGGTAACATACGTTCCTTTTATTTTGTCTTATTTCTTTTGTATTCTGTTGAATGGTGATTTGGATGCTCCATTCTACCACGGGAATCTGGACATTCTGTTCTGAAATGGTCCTTCTCCTAGGACCTCTCTGTCCCCAGCCTCACATAGTGAAGTCCTTCCTATGCTTTAGATCTCAGTTGAGGCAGAATTTCCTTGGTGAGGTTCTCTGACCCCCACACACTAGGGGAGGTGCTTTTTCTGCGTGTTTTTATAGCAGCATATTCTTTCCTTCAGAGCAACCACCTTTCTTTCTACTTGTCCATTCTGTCTCCTCATGTTCCCTCCGTGGGGAGTCTTCTAGCCAAGCACAGTGACCGGTACCTGAAAGTTCTATGTTCTTTAACACCATGTTGGGGAATTACCCACACGAATGGAAGCCCTGTGGACATGAGCAAAGGACATCGCTTTGCCTTCAAAAGGTGAACAGCTAAAGAATGACAAGTGAACAGTTATTTTCTGATGGATTATAAAATCCTAGAGTTGGATGTAAGCTCAGCTTGCCTGATTTGGGGTGAACTGAGATTTTAGTGGGTGCTATGTGACACAGTGAAGTTTTTGAATGCAATGCTCAAAGACCAAGTTTTCTCTCCTGTGACTGGGTGGAAGAGCCTGACATAAAGTCTTCCCTACTGTGTTTTAACACTATTGATCTACAAAACTCTGGACTTTAGAAAGCCAAACATCCCATGACAAAAGAAGTCCTTGGTCAGCTTAGTGTTGCTTCCATAAATACTTCTTTTCTCAGCATGTAGAGTCTGTGTGGGAGAGAAGTCAAGCCCTTCCTGGCAGTGGAGAGGACTCACCCCCATTCCTTAGGGGATTTTGGCTATGCTGCCTCTGTGGTCTTTAGGACAGGCCATTTCTCCTTCCTCCAGGGCTCTCTATGCCGCTCCTTCCTGACAGATGACTAGAGGAAGGAGCAGGTATGGCTGTAGTGGGAAGTGTTTGTCACCATTTCCCAGTAGGAAAGTCTTTCTTATGAGATGACAAAATAATTTTGAATTTTAAATTTTGAAGAAAACACTTAAACTTGTATCCTTTAAGGGACTATGTGGTCATTATATTTGGAGGCTTCTGGCAAGTTTTATGGAGGTCTCACTGTATTTCACTTTGACAATGCTTCCGTGTGGGTGAGACACCATGGGACTCTTCTCTGAAAAAATGAGTTCTTGAGAAAATCTAGTAAAAGTCATCATCAGACCTCTCATATGTCCACAAGCATGATCCCTTTTCACTTATTTTCTCCTTTGTAAGTAAAGCTTACTGTACCTGATACCTCCGGTTCTCGGGCACAAATTGAAATTTTCCTGGAGCCAGTTCCACAAGATCATCATATTCTGCAAACTTAAAAAAAGAACTTAGGTTGTTCATTTTTATTAAAAATTATCCAGAGCAAAAAAGGCAGGTAGTAGGGTTCGTTGTATTATTTTTATATTTTTCCTCTGCCATTGAAAAATCTTATTTTCTGTACAACGACTTCAATATGTTTATGGTTGCTAATTAGGTCTCAGAAATAAGTAAATGGATATGACTATCTTCAGATTTGTTGGAGATAATGAGGCAGACATGTAGAGGACAAAGTGACCCAGTGATTAGAGGTGGCTGGGAAGTACTTGGATAGATCTGGAGGGCATTGGTGATGCTGGGCTGGACAGATATGAACCATTCATCAATCTGAGTTAAAAATGTAGATATAAAAGGAAGAGCAGTTAGAAATGACTGAAAAAGCACAAACACACTTGGGTGTCTTGGCTCCAATTTGAGATTTCCAGTACACTAGTGTTTTTCACCACAGTGAAATATGGAAATATGATAGTGTCTTTTATTATTATTATTATTATTATTATTATTATTTCAGGAATTACTAAATAGTACAAGGAAATTTCATTGTGAAAATTTCATAGATGTGAATAGTGTACTTTGGATAAGTTCATCTCTCCATTATATTTGCTTAATGCATCCTTCTCCCCACCTTTCCAAATAGTTTTTGGTGGATTTCATTAAACCATCTTCATATATATGTATATATGTATATGCACACACTAATAAATCACTTCTAAGCAGAGTGATTCTCTCTGCAAATACGCTATCATATTCTTTGGCATTTTTGTATCTAACTCATTTTTTAAGCATTACTATATATCTGCATTTTGCTCTTCTGGCCTAAGACTAGCTCTTGTAGGACTTTCAGAATGACCCAGTTTAAGACTTTCCTTTCATTGGGATGGCTGGTGATCCAAGTGGTGACCATGATGTTCATGAGAGTTACTTCTGCACTTGCCAGTCCACTCATCACCTTCCTCCTTTACAGGAATATTTAACATGTCTTTGTTACTAAAATGATCATCTCCACTTAGGCATGAAAGCCAATGGTGCTTTGATAACGACTCTGAGTAAAAAGAAGATCATGCTATTTCTTCACAGTAACGGTAAAATAATAATTAAGCACCGACTGGTACCTGTACACTGCTAGGTAGTTTACACACATCCTTTAATTCTCATAGCGATCTTTCAGGTTAGGTCCATTATTAACATTTTCTGGTAAAGAGTGAGTAGCTGTGCTCCGTAAGTGCTACTCTGTGATGCCTGATCATTGAACTTAATTCTCATACAAGACCCGTTAATGTCTTAAGGGATAAACACATTCCAATAATCATGACAGTGAACACTAGTACTCTGATGAATCTTTTCCTAAGTTTCTCTTCGACCCAGAACAAGTTCATGAACAACAATTGCAGGCAGCACTTTACTGACTGCATTTAGGACAACAGCAAGGAGTCCTCTGGAAGTACTTACTTCAGGAAGTCCATTTGTGGGTATTTCGAAGGCTTGAGTTTCCAAAAGAAATAACCAGATGAGAAAGCACGTGAGTGGCTTCATTTTGCTGGACAGCTGTGCCAAGCTCTCCAGAACAGATGGTCAGGGCAGAATTCCACTCCTTCCCCCTGAATTGAGTTCAAAGGAACAACGAGGAGCACGGTACGTTTTTCAAAAAGAAGAAAAAGAAGAAAGCTCTCTAACTTCGCTCACAACTGGGACAAATATTTGTTCTGGAGCTCAAACTTGAGCTGAGGGGGTGGAAGGGACACCCGGAGGTTATTCAAACAGCAAAGGCAGGAGCAGTCGCTGCTGTGGGGACAACTCAGGGTCAGACTTTGTGCTTTTTTATTTTATCTTTTTGCTTTTGCTGATTCCTATTGATCTTGAAGTCAGAGAGTCCTAAAGATAATTGTCATCTTCAGAGTGAAGATATACCAGTAAATAGAGCTGTAGAGAAAAGCTAGGCTGAAAGTTTCTGGAAAGAAAATTCTTTCTTTTAAATTGAAGCAGGAGAAATTTAGGAAAAATAATACATGTGGTTTTCTGAGCAAAGAATTCATGGTTAATGCTTTTCCTTGTCTCTTTGATAACTGAGTGCCAGTTACATACAAAGAATTGAGCAAGTTGATACAGGACATGAGGGCTATTTTTTTTTTCTTTTTTCTTTTTGGCAGTACTGGGGTTTGAACTCAGGGCCTTCACGCTTGCTAGGCAGGCGCTCTACCATTTGTGCCAATTCACCAGCCTAAAGGCTCACTCTTGAGGGAGAATGCTTCATGAAAGTCTTTGGTTTAGGTAACAGTGTTTCCTTCTGCTGCCCTGGAATCATGGTGAATTGGTTCCATTGTTTTGGTGAGTTATATGGTAAAAATGAACTATGAACTATAAAATTGTTGCTACACTATTACCACATGGAAGACCAATTCATAGGAAAGCCTAAAAAGAGAAAAATGTATGGAAAAGTTTATAACTGTGAAAGATGGACAACACGCACATTGCCAAACAATGGGCTAGGAAAACAGTTACATTAATGAATTTGTTCATGTACCATAAGCATTGATGGACATTCTATAGGTACTGGATACATAAAAGGAAATCATGGCAGAACTCACCTTCCATTGGCTCAGGACAAGTCAAATGCTGTGTCCTGTGCAGAGATGGTACAAAGGAAGGTGGAATCTGCTCACCTGGAGAAATGCCCATGTATCCTACAGAGAATATGGGGCTTCGCCAGTTGGGTCTAGAAAGATGGGTGAGACTACTCCAGGCTGATGGCCATAAACTCCCTCGAGGGAGCAGGATGAGTGTGTACAGGGCTGTCAGTGTACCCAGGTAATTGGAATTATGTTAGTATACCAGGAGATGGAGGGGAAGAGAAGAGAGCAGGCAGGTGTGCCAGAGGGCCCCAAAGGACCAAATGCGTCAAGCCAAAGGAGTCTGAACTCTGATCTAAGCAGTGAGGAACCAATGGAGGGTCATTGGAAAGGAAGAAGCATGACAGACAACATTCACATTTGGTTCCCTTTGATCCAAAGATCACTTTGGGTACAGCTGAGATGATAGAAGAGGCAAGACAAGAAACCAAGGACCAAGAAACCAAGACAAGAAACCAAGGAGATTGTGACAGTACAGTTGAGGCAATGTAAGATCTTAGACCAAGGCCACTGAAGCAAGCTTTTTCTCACTCCTTTGTTACTACTGAACCTAACTGGGCCTAACTGGGGGGGTGACAAGAGATGCAGAAAGGACAAAGGATAGACAGACAGACAGAAAGTGGGATCAGGTGTGCTGGGCACTTGGCTGGAGACGCACAACAGCCTCATTGCTTCTTTTCTCTATTATTCTGTTCATTTACTTTGCTTCTTTTCTCCATCTTTATTCTTCAAGGCCTTACTCCTTTACAACTCTTTAAAACCTTGCTTCTAAAGTCTTTCTTCTTTCCATTTTTTAAAATCTCACTTCTAACGTCTTCTTTTCTGTTCTTTAAAGTATCTTTCCTTAGATTACTCTGTCCCATGTTTTCTCTTAGCTTTTCTTTAGCAAAATCTCTCTTAAAGTCTTTGCCCCCAGACTTGCACTGTCCCATGTTCTCTTTAGCTTTCTTAAAGTCTTGGCCCTCAAACTCGCAGACAAACAGCAGCGGCAATCCCCTTACAAGCTGCCAACCAACTCTATTAACCCCTGTTTAGTAATTTCCCTTTAGCAATTCTCCTTCAGCAATTCTTTTCCTTTCAGCAATTCTCCCTTCAGCAGTCCTCCCTTCAGTAATTCATTTTCCCTTCAGCAATCCTTTTCCCCTCAGCAATTTCCCTCCAGGAATTTCCCTTCAGCCAACCCCTACCCCACACACATCAAAAGCCTCTCCCATCATCCAAAAAGCCTCCCATCATCAAAAAGCCTCACATCCTCCTTCAGCAAGTCTTTTATACCGATTGGTAAACAAGGAGCTGGAGCTGTGGTTCTTGGGGAGAGCGTGACATTGTAACAAGAGGAACCTGCATTCCTGCTTCTCTGAATGTACACAACATAGGAAAAGCAACTGAGCTGCATCTTATTCTTGCCCTATTCTGTGGCTGGGGCTGTGCCAAACTCAGCCTGGAGAACACTGAGTACGAGCTTATGTCCTCATAGGCTTCTCCTACTCCACTCCCACAGGCCACAACTGTGAGGATGGCTTGAGAGGATAGGTTCCCAAGGTATTCACATAAAATATCAGTAGCATAAAATGACAAGTATTTGCTTTAATATTTAGAAGTGAATGTGTTCATTACTACTAAGTAATGGCAGCAGAATGCAGATTAACGAGGACAAGCATTTATAGCAATTAGACAATATGTAGATTGGCAAGTAGCCAAGAAGTCATGGTGATTACAATGTTGTCTAGGTGGTGAGTTCATGGGTAATTTACATTTTCTTCTTAGGGGAGTGGTTAAGACCACTTGACTTAAAGTTTGCATCCTAGGTTTGTAATCCTTCTTCCTCTGCTTACTAGGTATGAGAATTTAGGTGGTCCCCTTAATCTCTGCCAGCTTTATTTGGGAAATGAGAATGATCTCCCATTACTGTAGACTGAATTGTGTCCCTCCAAGGTCATATACTGAAGCCCTAATCCCTAGTATGGCTGTATTTGGAGTAATGAAGTAATTAATGTTGAATGAGGTCATAAGAGTAGGAATCTGAATAGGGCACATAACTGACACTTGCCTTTGTTTTTTCTTGATTTTCTCTTCAGCCTCAGAAATTGTGCAACAGTGAACCTTCTGGAATAATGGAAAGGAGGACATAGATCCTTCTCTTCTCTTGTATAGGATGGGCCCTTGAGCTTCTGCCAACCAAAGTAGATGCATGATCAAGCCCTCATGGAAAGATCCAGTCACAGCTTGGCACTCTCTGCTCAGGTAAAGTCTTGGGGGTAATTAATACCCACTGGTACATTTTTCAAAAACAATTGTGACTTTCAACCTTCTGGCTCCCCTATCAAGCAACTCATCTTTGATGATTTTAATCTGATATTCAGAATTATCTCAGAAGAAACCAAAGCAAGGGCAACCTGGGTCATGCTTCCCTTTTCCTGCTGATAGCCTGTCTCCCAATCCCAAAGTCTCAGGAAAAAATGCCCTGAGACTTTGCTCTCTATTGATGTTTGGAAGCACAGTGGCTCCTGACAGGATAGGATGTATGTTCAGGTCACTGGGTCCTGAACCTGTGACCCTCCCTTCCCCTCATTGCATGCCTAGATAACTGTAATGTGCTGAACTGAGAGTATCAACTGTTTTAAATATTTCTGAGTTGTAAGGTAGACATCACTACTGCAAAGGCCACAGGAAGATTCACTTTCACATAAGTGAAAAACACTGGGAAGTCTATAGAGAAAGTTCACAATACTTCATGTTTGAACAAAGCAATAACTCATTTACTCCTCTTTGAGAATTCTGAGAAATATCAACAAGCTTGAGATTCAACACTCTGAATATATCATTATGGTTTAGTTAACAAGATGGCAATAGCAACCACACTTTTATAAAATTCAATTGTAGACCTATTATTTTGAAAGAGTATATTTTTAAAAGTCCCAAATTGAAGCTGAGCTAGCTTACATGTGACAAGCCATCTCTGACCTCTACCTCTTGGTTTGATAAGTCTGATGATGGAGATCTGTTTCTACATACACATGGTTCTAGTGATCCCTTCCTTCTCCTAATAAAGTTAAAGCATTTTGTTATAGGATTTTCTGCTTCACTCTTCAAGATATCATTCTATTTCTCTGCCACGTCTTTCCCCCTCTCTTAAGTACAGGTGTGGGCTAGTGTCCTTTGGAGCCAGAACACAAAGACATTTTAGAAGAAAAATGTTAGAAATAGATGTATCACAAGTCAAAAAATGTGAAATACAGAAGGAAGAGCTGATGCTATCATTAGCTCTTGAGCCAAAGAAACTTGGTTTTGCTGTTGAATTATGTTGATTCTTTTCTTTTCTGTGTTCCTTATATCTGAAGTTTGAATTCACCCCTAATTGCCAGAGTAGAGACAATTGGGCCCAGAGGTGCCAAGTAACCAGCCATGATAGGTCAATTCATATAGCAGCTTCTGGTGTTCTTCCCAAGGTGTCTGGGTATTTCTGGCAAGGAGGTACCCACACCAGGAAGCCAAATCACAGAAGCACTAAGATCTGGAGTTGACATTCCATGTTCCCGATAGGAAGCACCTTCCTGTGAGTTATTGGGGAGCTCTCACCACAGTAAGAACAGTGCAATGAGTGTATTTGGAGATCTGAGCCACAAGGGACACTGAAAGTCATCTAATTGGATTCTCTAAAAGATGATGAAGTAAGGCTGAAGGAAGTTAAGTCATGTGGCCAGAGCCATTCAGCCAGGTAGTAAATAAAGAAGTGCTATAGGGCTGAGGTAGGGGGCACAAGGTTGTTGTGACAATCAGATCAGAATTCAGCCATCTGATTCCAGAACTTCAATGTCCATCACAAGTCCGGCCTGACTCTCTAACCCACTAGTGCCTTCACGACTTTGGACAAATCTCCATGTACCTCAGTGTCCTCATCTGAAAAGAATGAAGATCACAAATAGTGATCACACATAAAGGACTCTAACACTGTCTGGTGCACATTA